AAAAACAGCTGGTTTTTCTACTCAAGTCCTCAGCTGGAAGGAGATGCAGAAACTTAGTTATTTTTAAAAATGCCATAACCATTTAATCAAACACACTTTGGATCATGTTGTGAAATATTTCTGGTAGAACCTTAGACTGAGAACAATGAATCTCATACGTCTCTTTTCTCTGTAGTTTCACCTTCAGATGGAACTTAACATTACACCGTTCAGTGGACCCTTCTGAGTGGCAGAAAAATGCTCTCATTACTGATGACCTCATATAAACATCTCTGCAGGGCCGTGGTTGAGGAGGACTCCCAGAGTTGTGTGGGAGTATAGTTACTAGCTGGCTGATGATTCAAATGGTACAGGTTGTCACCATCACATTTCCAGCATCGGTGATTTCATTACTTTTTAAAGACAGCTTAGTTTTCTATCAGTTTTGACAGTTGTGTGGTGTTAACATGCATTCCAAGATTCCCTTCTGTGGTCCATTCTTAGCCTCCTGCCTCTGGTTCCTCCATTCCTGAGAACTTGAACCAGTGTTTGTGGTTATCACCCTGGCATCCCTTTAACGGCATCTACTAGCTCTTGCTCCAAAAGTACCCCAACATAGTGCCTGGCCAAAAAGACCCCAGGTGTACCCGAACACAGTGCCTGGCCAAAGCAACACTAATCTGGATCTACTTCTGGTCTTTTGAGCTTCGTTATTGCCTTTGTACCTCCCAGATTTTAAGTGTGAGCATTTCTTCCTGGTCTGCAGTTTGGTTTTCTCTCTTGAGAAGTGTCTTGGCAAAGAATTCTTGTGGTATTGTTACGGTAGGCTAAGAGTTAGGAAATTGGGAGTGGGGGCCAGTTGTCAAAAAGGCAACGTAACAACTGATTTGCTAACCTTGTGGAAAGCAATCTTCACACGACTTGTCATTGTTCAGTTAAAAAGAAATCAGAAGAGAAGCTTGGGCTCTTAAACTTGCCACAAAAGCTAAAAGGGAAGCTGAAAGCAATAGGTGTTGTGTGCGCCTGTCTTGCCACACAGCTGACACAAATTGTCGCGCGCGGCCTTTGCCGATAAGGACGACGCAACAACCGAGGATTTCTTCAGTGGCAGGTTTATTGTACAGCTCTTTCTTGCAGATGGTGAAGGACCCAAACCCCGGGTTGTGCTCTGCTTAAATAGCCAGCAGCGCGACCTGTCCGTCTGTAATTGGTGCTCTGTTCAAGTCTTCATAAGCATATGGCTGGCAATTGGAGTGCAGCCTAAACCCTCATTTAGCATAAAGCTGCGCATGCGTAAACTGCAGGGTGGCGCAGGCAAGAAGCGCGAAAATGCTGGCAAGAAGAACCAGGAAGCAGGAAGCCGGCGCCATCTCGTAATGGCGGGGAGTGGCTCCCGACAACAAATGAATAGGTAACCCCAGCTAGTAAATTCAGCTAGAACACCTATCTTGAATCTCAGGTCCCATAAGCAGCCTTTAACAGACCAAAAGTTAAAAACAATCAGAAATAAAGTGGTTATGTGTTTCTTCCTCCAGTGGTCCAAGAGAGTAAAATGCAGTTTCCGTGACCACTGCAATAAAGTCTCAGGACAGACTGAAGGACACGGTGTCACCGCCCCCCTCCACGTTCCCCTCCCCCATCTGCCTTTGCCCCTTATTTCAAAGCTCTGCTCTCCTCCCCTGATCTCTGGTTTTATTAAAAGCCCCACTTTCCCTTCTGGTCTCTAGCCCTTTGTGTAAAATGATGTCCGGGGTAGCACTAACATTGGGCCAAGCCTCACTGAGTTCAGAGATGGCTCTCCAATGACAGGGCCCGGCCCTTGGAAACCAAACTAACAGGGGTAGGGGAAGGACTGCCTTCCTAACTGATCTCAGTTGCCTTGACAGCCCCTTCAGCTGTTTCCCCACAGTCCTCTCTCCCTCAGAGTAAACACTGCAGTGTCTTCTTATCCGTTGCCAATGTGCATTTTAAGGAAAAGAAAGTATATTGACTTACCCATGGTGGCATCAAAATTCTGATTAGATTTCCGAATTTGGTTTACTGCTGTGCTTTTTAAATTTGAGATAGATTAGGGTTGTAATAATTATAAACCTGGTACATTAAGTGTTATTTTTATGCCAAGTGATTTATTTTTAGTAAAAAATACATATGCATATAGATGAAAGCAACACAATAGTTATTATATTATTGTCTTGCCATTTTTTGATATTTCTAAAACAATATTTATATACTATGTTTTTGATAGCTAGAAATTTGTGTATTTATGTTGTATAACTTACTTAGAAATTAGCCATATACGCTGTCTTGTTTCTTACCTATACAGCTTTGTTGTTTTCTTCTAGTTAATAATTTTTATTGTTGGATTACTTTTTCTGTGGATGTCTCACTGAGTTAGTCATCGCTTAAGTGTTCTCTGAAGAGTTCATGCACTTTAGATGTAATGATCAATCTTGATTGTCAGCCTGGCAGTCCTGAGATGCCTAGGAGAATAGTAAAGCTCATGTGGGTGCATTTATGGGGACATTTCCAGAGACGGTTAGATCGTGAGGGCTCTCATATGATCAATAGCTTGACCTATTTATGGAGTCAGACTTGAATAAACTGTTGTAAAGTGGTGGAAAGAGAGAGCATATGTCACAGCTTAGAGCAGCAGTTGTCAACCTGTGGGTCATGACCCCTCCAGGGTCACATATCAGATATTTACACTACAATTTATAAGAGTAGCAAAATTACAGCTATGAAGTAGCGACAAAAACAATTGTATTGTTGGGGATCACCACAACATGAGGACCTGCATTAAAGGGTCACAGCATTAGGAAGTTTGAGAACCAGTGTCTTAGAGGACATAACTTGAGCCAGCAAGACAGCTTGGTATAGAAAGGTGCTTTTATGCCTGACAACCTGAGCCCAATGTCTGGAATCCACATGCTAGAAGGAACGTGTTGACACCTGCAATTGTCCTCTGACTTTTACACAAATGCTTTGATAAATAAATGAGATGTAATCTAAAGAGAAAGGACATCTCTTGCTTGGCTTCTTCCTGTCTTCATTCGGCTTCTTAGCAACTTTGAGTTTGGTTGCAGCACACGCCCTGTCCTGATGAAGAGAAACCTCTAAAACCATGAGCTAACTAAACCTTCCTGAAGTTGTTTTCTGAAGAGTTTGCTCATAGTAAGGACGAAGTCTGTCCACACAGCTTTTGAGCTTTGTGACCATGCTTATGGGCGCTGTTATTCTCTTCACTGTGTGTGGCACGTCAGCTGGAGGAAGCCTTCCATAGCCTTCTAGGGATTCTGGAGGTAGCTTTCCATAGCCTTCAAGGGATTCTGGCTTTCTCATGTGGACCCTGGTTTGTGGTTATCTCAGTTTGCGATCTGTTTTGGTTGATCAGAGCCCCCAGTAGCTTCCTGACAAGTGTGTGCAGTATCTTCGTTCTACTCTACTGTTATGACATAGCCTAGCATAATAAAAACTATGAAAACATCAGCTTTCCTTGGAACTTTATAACATCTTGCCATTGCCATTTAAAGTGTTTCTCTTGAACAAATTTTATTAATGGAAGAGTTACAGTGAAAAGCTGATTTCTGTATCCCCTTTGCCTGGCTTCTCTTCATAGCCACTATATATTTGTTATTACTAAGACATTACTATTGATACATTGCTACTAATTGAATTACAGATTTTAGGTATGTTTCACTTCAGAGAAACTTTATTGTATTTCTCCAGCTATTTGCAATGGATAGCTGCTGGACAAAAGGAAATCAGTTTTCTTTAATGGAACGATGCTAGGCATGTCAGACATACTCCAGGACAGATCCCATGCCCAGAAGGAGTTGGCCAACACAAATCAGGCTCCATTTTGTTTTTTTTAATATATTTTTTTGTTGACTATTTGTGAATTTCATATAATGCACCCCAATCACACTTGCTTCCCGTTCCTCCCAGGTCCACCCTCCCACCATTGGGCCCTTTCCTCCCAAAAAAGAAAAAAGAAATTATGTCAACTCCAATTTGTGTTGCCCATCTACTCATTGGAGTATGCATGGTCAAACTCCCAGTCACTAGCTCCTTAAAGATAACTGAGTTCTTCTGGCTCTGATTGTATTATTTATTTATTTGGGGATTTTTTTTTTTAAGAGAGAAAGAACATGATGTTCCATGGGCTTGAGGGGAGTATTGAGGAGGGGAAAGTACGTGATTACTGGGTTTCCAGTTGGTGGAACTTTTGGGGATGGATTAGTAGGTGTGGCCTTATTTGAAGAGGTGTGTTATGGGGGCCAGGCTTTGAGAGGTCGAAAGACTCCCATTTCTAGTATGTCCTTTCTGCCTCACACTTGTAGATGAGGATGTGAACTCTCTTTCCTGTTGCTAATCCTTTCCTCCACTATCAAACACTATCAAACCCTCTGAAACTAAAAAAAAATAATTAAATTATTTTAAAAATATAAATAGCCTTCGCCATGGTGATTTGTCACAGCAGTAGAAAAGTAACTAACATTACATCAAAATATCAAGATCTATGTTACTCACATTATAACACTTTTCCTTGCAGAGGAATATATGGGCATAGGTGAAACTAGAGAAAAGTAATTAAGCAAGGCAACAAGAGAGGGGAAGTAGCCTGGAGAAAACTAGGCTCAGTCTCAGCTGGTCTGATATATGGTTTTGGGAGAGTACTTAGAACTAAGTACTGAGACAGTATTTAGTACTTCCCACCTCCGTAAAATATGGTTGCTGTGTTTATTTCATTTGATTGCCAGGAGAGTTAAGCAAAAGAAACTGTCTCATCTTTTGTCTGGTGGAGTGTCCAGTGCACAGAATAGTTTCAATAAGTGTTGATATGTGCCCTGTGACTCTTCAACCATGTAACTGCTGAGACTATGGAGGGGAAAAAAAACAAAAACAAAAACAAAAACCATTTGCTTTATTAAAAATGTGCTGTGTCCCATCGTTGAGTGGCAGGAACATGGGGTCTGCCTTATAGCATGTTTCAAATTCTCTTTCTCTTTCTCTCAATGCAGGGCTTACCACCCAAACAATGGAAGGCAGAAGTTAGCCACCTGAGCTGCCCGGAGCCGACCTTGTTCGCCTTCTCATCTCCAGCTTCTCCAGCCCTACGTGGGAGGTCCTTGAGGGAGCTGTGGCTACCTAGCTTTCGGCAGTCTAAGAAAGAAGCCGAGGCACTGAGGTGGCTGGTGGATAGGAACCAGAACTTTTCATCTGGAGAGTTTTGGGCCTTGGTATTTAAGGACTAATTTTAACAGGTACTAGAATGACAGAATAAGGTTAATTTTCTTGGATGCCTTAATATTTGAAGGTAATAGCTATTCCACCAAGTATCCTTTGGGATAAGAATTAGTTGCAGCAGTTCTCACAAAGAGTCCTGTAATATGACAGCCATGAATTACTTTTAGGGGTTGCCTCTATATTTCTATACCAAAAAAAGCAGACATTTAAAAATGGACATTGGTTGCCTTGAGTTTATGTATTTGGGCCCATGTACTCACTGTCTTTGGAACCTGACCCACGGTCAAGTGCCTTCCTTGCTCCATGTCTAGCTGTGAGTGTGTGGTGCTCACCTCCCTGGCAGCAGCTCATTGGTATTTGGCAAGCCCCGTTTCTTGATGCTGAGAGTGAATGAAACGAGTTAGAACTTGGCAGTGAGAGATTCCATCTGTTGTTCTCAGGGATGTGAGTGAGTAAGAAAACCTGTGTCAGGCTTCCCTGCTCTCCCAGTTCAAAGGATATACACACAGCTTCCTGCCTCTCTGCACCCTTGCCACCTCACTAGTCAGGTCTATATTCATTTCACCTGTGCCCTCCTCCCATTTCCCTCTCAAGTGGAATTTTCTATAAAGACATAACTCCTCCTCGTTTTTCCGTGAGTGAGATATCACTAATTGTTTCTTATGTTACAGAGCAGGAGAGGAAAAAAATTGTCAGATTCATGGCAGAAGAGCCATTTGTTTTGATCAAGGTGAGGGCAGTGAATGCCTGTCTCTCCTTTGGGTTGGAGTTGATTGTCATTAGGATGATGGATACCACCTGTCAAGGTAGGCAGGCACTCTGCTGAGGAGCATTTCCAAGTTTCTAATGCTGCTGGAAAAGGCATCAGCTGTATTATTTGGTTACCCACTGGAGCTCACAGAAAATAAAGAGGAGCAACACTGGCTTTCATTCCATTAGATGGTAAGGAGACTTCTAATCAGCACAGAAACCTCGTGATAACTAGTGGGATGGCTTCTGTGTTCTGTATGTTGGAAGACAAGCCATTGCAGCCAGCCTGTAAGAAATGAGAGTTAAAAGACATATATTCCTTATTTTTTCATCTTGTTTGTCTGTGGGCAGTTTTTCCTCAATCCCACATCTGTCATGGACTAAGCATTATCTTAAACAAATCCCTTAACTTCCCTGGACCTTGGGTTTTGTATCTTAAAAAGAAGTGATTGATCTGGTCTTTGAAGTTGTAATATTCTTTAACCAGTCATCAACATTTTAAGATGATTAATTTTATAGGAGCTTTTACTAAAGCGGGAATAAACAGGCTTAGATTTGTGTTTTTCAAGTGAAATACATTCTTTGGAGAAAGAAACATATGTATTTTACATAGTACTGAGAATGGAGGAGATGCCATACCAGTTGATCTAACATCCAAGCAGCAAATGTTTGAAAATGATTGTTGGTGTAAAATTAGGCTTTAAACTGTGTACTGAATGAAGTGGAATTCTTTCTGAATCCTCAAAAACGGTCTGCAAAAGGATTTGTATCTTTGACAAAATAATGTATAAGCTTCTCTTTCCATAAATGTCTAAAACAAATATTCAGTGCTTACATGTGTCTTCAATGTGTTTCAGGCATTTTGTAACATTTTTTGAGAACTTCAAATGAGTAATGATAATGACTCTCCCCCACCTTTCCGGATATCCTTGCACTGTCCACTCCTCCTTTGTCTTTTTTTAATTGAAAATTGATTCTTCTCTCATACAATACATTCCAACACAGTTTTTTTTTTCCTCCACTCCTAGCTCTCTTCTACCTACCTTCTCCTGCAAATCCTCTTCCCCTCCATTTCTTCTTCATAGAAGAGCAGCTCTCCATTAGACAACAGCCAAACAGGACAGAACAAGATAGAATAAGAGAAGGCAAAAGCCCTAATATTGAGGCTGGACATTAATAGTATAATAGAAGATGGGCGCAGTGGCACACACCTGTAATCCCAGCACCTGGGGAGGTAGAGGCAGGCAGATCTCTGTGAGTTCAAGGCCAGCCTGAGCTACAAAGCAAGTCCAGGATAGCTAAGGCTACACAGAGAAAAGAGAAACCCTGTCTCAGAACACACACACACACACACACACACACACACACACACACACACATATGTATATGAATATATATATGAATGAACACACTAAATCCAGTTAGTACCACGCATATGTGCATGGGGGAGGGGCCATACCCTGGAACACAGGAACACTTTCAGGGGCTACCTTCTCAGTTGTAAATAGCTCCTTTGTAAGGCATGGAGCCTGGAGATAATCTGTCCCACTTTTGCAGGGACTGTGACTGACTGATCTTGTGCAGTTCTTGTATAGGAAACCCCAGCGGCTCTGAGTTCAGCTGTGTGATAGCAATGCCATGTCTAGAAGATGCCATTTCACAACACCCGGTCCTGTCTTCTGGCTCTTAATTAAATTCTTTTCACCCCCCTTTTTCCTCAGTGTTGCCTGAGCCTTGACTGGGCAGTGTCTGCTACCCACTGAAGAAGGAAGTGAGCCTTAAATCCAACCAGATGATCGTTGGTTATCCCCATAGCATTTGTGCCACGATTGCACCAGATCTGCCCTAGCATATCTTGCAAGCGGTTGCAAGGTTTATGCCTTGGTTGATGATTCCCTTTCCCCTCTGGTAGCATGTAGAGTACCTTCCCGTACCATGAATGCTAGTCAGTAGGGTTGAAGCCTCTAGTTAGGCACCAGCTTGACTTTGCTGTTTTCAGTGCGATATATAGGTGTTGTCTTGAGCATTGGGGCTTTACCATCAGTTTATAAAGAAAAACAAATAGCCTTGATAGTAGCTTGGGTTATTTGAGGGTGTTTGTTAGGGCCCTTTGGCCAATGACTCAATAATATGTAACCTATTCCTGACACTGAAGGTTTCATTTAGTGGCAAAAGATACTCAGTTGCAGCATTGTCTCTTTTACTATTTTATGACTCCATTTAGATTTCTTTTGTATATGTGTGTATTTTAGGAAGCTTCTATAATAGCAGATTTCCATATGGCTCCTCCTCAGTTAGCCCTTAGTTTTAGTTGACTCTCTCCATATTCTCTCTCTCATGGCTCTGAAAATCATGTGCTTATTCTGTGATATTCCCTGAGCCATAGGTGTAGGTGTTATGTTAAACATATACTTTTTTGGGCTGGACACCTCATTGGGCTCACTTCATTTTGACCACTGGTAGATCTCTAAAGTAGCCGTCTATGATGAGGTGCACCATACTGATGAGAGCTACCATTATCTGTGAGTATAAGAATAAATGTTAGAATACAGCTAGAAACTATATTGACTTAGGAAGATGGTAATAGTAAGTTCTCCTCTTGGTTCTGTGACCTCTCCGGCCATGGGTAGTTGGCAGGAGTTCCTTAAGTCCAATTAGTTTCCATCGAGATACAAGTGTCACCATTGCACATTTCATTTCACCTTGTTCCATCATGTTCTTTGTTTTAAAAGAGTTCCATAATAAAATTTTGTCTAAACTTCATTGGAGTATATCTCTAAAAATTTTTATGGGAAATAAAATCTTTGATTATGTGATACCCCTTCCTCAACTGTAGAGGATAGAGAGGAGGGAATTGCTTGGGACTAAAAAATGAAGTACAGAAAACAAAAGTTTGATACTCCATCCATTAAGCAAAATAATAGTAGTATGTTCACTCATATACAACTTGCTTCTGCACGCAAATCTCTGTAACTGGCGATTGGCCTACCAGTTGGACCCTCCCCCCGCCCTTAACTCCCTGCAAAGAGATGTGGCTTTGTGCAGTGGTTAGTAGTTAACACAGACACAACTGATCAGCTGGCCAAAGTGCAGAGAATGAGGGTCAGTGGAAGGCTCAGCTAAAAATGGGATAGGTATATCACGCCGTTCCCCAAGGCTGGGGACCGTTGAGGAAGAGAAGGCAGAAAGGCCGTAAGAGGGAGAGGTCGGGGGACTGCAGTGAAACAGAGTCTTCTGGACATGACAGGACTGCTGTGCTCCTGAACTCACAGAGGCCGTGCTTACCTGCCCAGGATCAAGCTAGTCGTTCTAGCCTGGAGTGGGAAATGAGTTTTGAACCCTGACCTGTAACTAAGGAACGGTGGACGGTTGATGGTTGTTGTATTCTAGGGAAGAGAGAGTTGCTTTTCCTTAAGGATGTTGTTCCTGGTAGGTTGGCATTGCTCGTGGAGATTATCCAACACGCAGGAGTATATGGACGGCACTAATTAGACTCAGCAGGTTATTAAAAAAAAAAAGGACATGACACTGTGAGGTCTGTGAGGTCAGGTGTGTCTAGGGGTGAATATGATCAAAATATATTATATGAGGTTCTCAAAAAATTAATAAAAACTTTTTTAGCTTTTTTATTGATTCTTTGTGAGTTTCATATCGTGTACCCCAGGCCCACTAATCTCCCCACCACCTCATATCTGCCCTTGCAACCTACCCCCTAAAGTAAAACACACACACACACACACCACCACCACCACCACCACCAACAACAACAACAACGAAAGCATAGAAAACATCTCATCCTGGAACCTTTAGACTGTCACAGTGTGTCCCACAGTATATCCCTCTGTGCACATATCTTCACTTGCAAATGTTCATTACAATGAGTCATGGGTCTAGTTTGAGATCTCTGCCTCCTGTGACCCCTTCAATACTGAGTCTCCTCAACGAGACTCCTGGTTGCCCTGTGTCATGGAGATCCTGCAGGTTTGGATCAGCAGGACTGGCCCTTCCACAGGTCCAAACCATTTGCAGATGATATAGGTTTTGGAGTGGGCCAATTCAGAGCCCTGGATCTGGGCCTGGGTAGAAGCTGAGTTGGTCATCCCACTGGCTCTCTCTCATCTGCACCATTAGGTCAAGCTCCCTAGCACTGCTCCAGCTCTGCCACCCAGTGCTGCTACTGGCAGGAGGTAGGGTCAACTCTCCTGCTCTCATGCCCTCGGGGTGGCTCACCAGCACCCATGCCTCCAGAGCCAGCTCCAGTGTGCTGCCCAGGCAAGGTTCAGAGCCCACTCTTCCAAGTGCTGCAGCTTGCTAGGGTCTGGGCCATGGCTCACCTGTGCCTTTGTTCATCTTCATGGGCTTCTTGACTGTCCTCCTTTGTTCCTTTATACTCCTTGGAACAGTGATCTAGAAGGGTCCTTCAGCCTGTGCCACTGAAGCTTCTGAAGTGAGTCAGGATTGGACAGTGAGGAATGCTTCTGAGGACATTTGGGTATTAGGCCAACAACACTTCCTCTATGTTACTATCCCCACATCATCCAGTCTAGAGCCTGAGAAGATAGAGTCTACGAAGGCTCTTATGAATATTCAAAATTTTACTACCATGGACTTAATTTTTTACAATGACTGAGCTGATTAGGAGGCTTAAAGACCATCATTGTAGGTGATGGGGGTATTAATGGCTTGAGGCTGGCCATATTCCAAGAGCCTTTGAGATTAACTTAAGTTGTTTTTCAAACACACAGAGTAAACTCCTTTGATGAATCTACTCAAAGGAAGGGAGAAAGGACAGTTTATGAAAGAATGCCCATGGTAAAGCAATAAAAATGATTAGTTAAACCATTGTGTGACAGAACAGAAATCATGGGATGTGTATATATGTTAATATTTAATATATAAGGAATTTATTAGGTTAGGTTACCTTAAAATAAAAATAACACCGGAGAGGCTGATAATTGTGTAGTTTCTTGACCCTGAGGCTGGGGGCCTCAGCCATGAGAGTGGTCCCATAGCAGCTGTATTTTCCGATGAGAGGCTGACCATCCAGCACTTGCGTAGGCCACAAGGCTAGTACCTCAGCAGTCGCAAGCTGCACCTAAAACCTGGGAGGTTCCTGGTCTGTAGTCCATGATGGATGCCTGGCCACCCTGGCTTTGGTATCAGTGAAGGAAGCAGCAGCAGCAACTGAAATCAACTCAGTGGCAAGAGTGAAAGTCAGGTGAACAAAAGGTGAGGAATGCTCTGCTCCCCCTTCTTTCTGGACTGCCTCCAGAAGGCTCGTCTCACAATCAGGTGGGTTTCCACTCCCACAATTAAGGCATTCAAGGCAATCCTTCAGTTGAGGCTTCCTACCCAGGTGATTTTAATGTGTGGCCCGCTGACATTAGAACCAACGATAGTGGCAAAATTGGGAATGCACACAAGCCTGCACTTAACATCATAAACCTGAGGACCTGAGTTTGTATCCCACCATTCACACTGCGTACTATGTCACGTGTCTATAGTCTCAGAGCTGGGAGGTAGAGATGGGGGAGCTCTGGGCTTGCTGGGCAGCCAGTGCAGTCACATGAGTGAGGTCGGGGTTCACTGAGAGGCACTGTTCCTCCCAATGGAAACCTCAGGCCTCCTCATCCACGTGGACATATGTGCATACACACATTCACAGGCCCACATGGACAGGTGCACACACATCCACAGACTTCACGTAAATACGCTTCTGCGCAAGCTGGAGGGAAAAGTCTGGTGTGGTGGGCTGTGAACTGGGTGTGCATACTTCCCAGACAACGTCGTGTTTACTCAAAACCGAGCATCTGAAAAACTA